CCTTCATGTCCACCATACCACTCCGCCCTTAACCGGGATTTGAACCCGGGTCCTCTGGTTCCCAAGCAGTGCTCTTAACCACTTGCTATTTGGGTCCCCAATCTGTTTTTCGCATTTCTCTTTCTTAACCTTACGGTTTGTTCAGTACTTTTGAAGTTAAAAAGGTGTCTCTACCGGGATTCGAACCCTGCAACCCCTGGTTTGGAGCACAACACTTTGCCACAGAGCCACAAACATCTCTTATAAACACTACTTTTTTTTTTAAACTTAACCCTTAGGATCACATTTCCAACTTCAAATTGAAATTTAAAAAGCATCTCTACCGGGATTCGAACCCTGGTCCCCTAGTTCGGAGCACGACACTTTCCCTCAGAGCCACAAACATCTCTGGAGAACCTTCCTTTTTTTTAAAACTTAACCCTTAGGTTTACATTTCCAACTTCAAATTGAAATTTAAAAAGACGTCTCTACCGGGATTCGAACCCTGCTCCCCTTACTTTGAAGCACGACACTTTCCCTTAGAGCCACAAACATCTCTGAAGGACACCACTTTTTTTTTTTTAACTTAACCCTTAGGTTTATGAGTAGAACTTCAAATTGAAATTTAAAAAGACGTCTCTACCCGGATTCGAACCCTGCTCCCCTTAGTTCGGAGCACGACACTTTCTTGCAGAGCCACAAACATCTCTGAAGAACAATACTTTTTTTTTAACTTAACCCTTAGGTTTACATTTCCAACTTCAAATCGAAATTTAAAAAGGCGTCTCTACCGGGATTCGAACCCTGCTCCCCCTAGTTCAGAGCACGACACTTTCCCTCAGCGCCACAAACATCTCTGGAGAACATTACTTTTTTTTAAAACTTAACCCTTAAGTTTACAATTAGAACTTCAAATTGAAATTTAAAAAGACGTCTCTACCGGGATTCGAACCCTGCTCCCCTTACTTTGGAGCACGACACTTTCCCTCAGAGCCACAAACGTCTCTGAAGAACATTACTTTTTTTTTAAACTTAACCCTTAAGTTTACAATTAGAACTTCAAATTGAAATTTAAAAAGACGTCTCTACCCGGATTCGAACCCTGCTCCCCTTAGATCGGAGCACGACACTTTCCTGCAGAGCCACAAACATCTCTGAAGAACACTACTTTTTTTTTAACTTAACCCTTAGGTTTACA